GACAGGTTTTTCAATAAGTGGTGCCAGGAAAAGTGGACAGCCTCTTGTAAAAGAATGACATTAGAACACCCCCTAACACCATACAGAAAAGTAAACTCAAAATGGATTCAAGACCTAAATATAAGGCCGGACACTATAAAACTCTTAGAGTAAAACATAGGCAGAACACTCTATGACATAAATCACAGCAAGATCCTTTTTGACCCACCTCCTAGAGAAATACAAATAAAAATGAAAATAAACAAATGGGACCTAATGAAACTTAAAAGCTTTTGCACAGCAAAGGAAACCATAAAAAGACGAAAAGACAACCCTCAGAGTGGGAGAAAATATTTGCAAATGAAGCAACTGACAAAGGATTAATGTCCAAAATTTACAAGCAGCTCGTGCAGCTCAATATAAAAAAAAAAAACAAACAACCCAATCCAAAAATGGGCAGAAGACCTAAATAGACATTTCTCCAAAGAAGATACACAGATTGACAGCAAACACATGAAAGGATGCTCAACATCACTAATCATTAGAGAAATGCAAGTCAAAACTACAATGAGGTATCACCTCACACCTTCAGAATGGCATCATGAAAATATGTACAAACAATAAATTCTGGATAGAGTGTGGAGAAAAGGGAACCCCGTTGCACTGTTGGTGGGAATTTAAATTGATACAACCACTATGGATGTTCCTTACAAAACTAAAAACAGAACTACCATATGACCCAGCAATGCCACTACTGGGCATATACCCTGAGAAAACCATACTTGAAAAAGAGTCATGTACCACAGTGTTCATTGCAGCTCTATTTACAATAGCCAGGACATGGAAGCAACCTACGTGTCCATCAACAGGTGAGTGAATAAAGAAGATATGGCACATATATACAATGGAATATTACTCAACCATAAAAAGAAAGGAAATTGAGTTATTTGTAGTGAGGTGGATAGACCTCGAGTCTGTCATACAGAGTGAAGGTAAGTCAGAAAGAGAAAACAAATACCATATGCTAACACATATATATGAAATCTAAAAAAAAAGTAAAAGGTTCTGAAGAACGTAGGGGCAGGACAGGAATAAAGACGCAGATGTAGAGAATGGACTTGAGGACATGTGGAGGGGGAAGGGTAAGCTGGGATGAAGTGAGAGAGTGGCATGGACATATATACACTACCAAATGTAAAATAGATAGCTAGTGGGAAGCAGCCACGGTGCTCTGTGTCCACCTAGAGGGGTGGGATCGGGAGTTTTGGAGGAAGACGCAAGAGAGAGGAGATATGGGGATATATGTATATGTATAGCTGATTCACTTTGTTATAAAGCAGAAACTAACACACCATTGTAAAGCAATTATACTCCAATAAAGATATTAAAGAAAAAATAAGCAAATCAAATACAACAATACATTAGGATCATACACCACGATCAAATGAGATTTATTCCAAGGATGCAAGGGTACTTCAATCTGCAAATCAATCAACACGATACACCACATTAACCAAACGCAGGATAAAAAAATCACATATTGACTTCAATAGATGCATAAAAGTTTGACAAGTTTCAACATCTGTTTATGAAAAAACTGAATAAAATGAGTATAGGAGGCAGATACCTTAACATAATAAAGGCCATATATGACAAACCCACAGTTAACATCATACTCAACCAGAAGTGTCTTAACTGAGATCATGAATGTAAAATTTTTAGCAAAATACCCGATGGTCAGCACTCACTAAGCACTAGTTGTAAATATTATTATGACTGCTACTGTAATAACAACTACTATTAAAAAAAGCTTGAGATAAGAGAAGGTCACCAGTCATGGTTTGTTCTCCTCCCTTTAAAGTCTCTCTAACATTTGTTAAGTACTTTATATGTGTTAGGTGCTTTCTGTACTCTATTTCATTGTATAAGCAGAAATATCTATGAGGTGATTTTACTATAGTGTAGGAACCTGGAATTAGATAGGCTTGAGTTTAAATTCTAGGTCGGCATTATTCTCATTCTGAAATATATTTAGACAAGTGCTTTTGTAGTCCCAAGCTTCCAAGTGTATGTCTTTTTTTTTATCATCACTCTATCAAAGCAGTTTGGTAAAAGTAAAGACTAGTTACAGGATGAGTCTGCTTTCCAGGTAAGCAATAGCATGGGGGGACCTCACCAGGCCCCTATCTGGAGGACATTTTGGGCTCCACTTCGGCTCAAGGCAACTCTGCTCATTCAATGAAGAGGTATAGAGTGCAATTTAGTAAATCTGTTCTTCATGGGACAGCATGAAGAAGGAGATGGACCCACTGACAACAATTTGACTTTCAATGTGCTAGCCCTTGATTTTCCCAAGTGCTTCCTATGGAAAGCAAGGCTTGAGTCTTACATGAACAGAGGAATTAGGCAAGTTTTGAAGGGCCCGTTTATCAAACGTAAGGAGTTCAGGTGCAGGAGACCAGGGAGCGACATAGTGATTTAAGAGCAGGAACAGGTTAGAAGGGGAGAGCTTGGTGATCCAAAGGAAAAAGATTACGTCACTGAACACAAAGTTGGAGCAGAAACATTTGCATATTTGCGCTCATGCTGTGCCCCCAGCAACAGGTCATTATAGCCCTGAAACCCTGCCTACTTGGTCAGGTCTCAGGAGGTAAGCAGGGATCAGACTGGGAGTTCTTGGATGGGAAACCAGGTGAGATTGGTCTGCTTAGTGTTAGCATGGATCCAAGATGGAGTCATCCTATCCTAGATCTAAACTGTGAGTCCACTTTATGACCTTGGGGAGGTTACTTAACCTCCCTTACTTCAGTCTGTAAATTGGAGAAGGCTAAAGTTACCTTATTTGGTTGCAGTCAGAGATTAATTGAGCAAATTGTATATAAAGGTTCTACTTTGGTGCCTGCCCATGACAGGAGCTCAGGACACGTTAGATCCCTTCTCTTTAGTTGACGTGCTGAGTATCAGCGGAGCTGAGTGCCCATGGCAAAGCAAAGATGCTGGGAGGTGCACTCCAGGAGCTTTCACAATTGACCTGGCAGAGTGAGTGAGGTGACTGGGCTGTTCTCCTCCAGAACTGCACACAGAAGTGAGCTCTGAGTTGAAGCACCAGTATTTGACTCCTTTGGGATTTGACAGACATCTTTGCAAGGACATCATTTTTATACTATTATGGCAACCAAGACTCCTCAGAGCATAGTCTCTTTGGGAAAGCCTTGGACCTGCTGGAAGAACTGGAGATGTGAGACAGAGCCCATCTTTAGTCCCGTCACCTTGCTAGACTTCATGGGCTCAGGGCACAAAGGGACGCCAGCAGGAACAGCAACCACCGCTCCAGGTCTGAAGAGAATCTACATCAGACCCTCAGAAACTTGTCCCCAGGACCAAATATAAATATTTTGGTTTATTTTTTTCCAGAAAGAGAAAGGGACAGAGTTTTATTTTAAATATAATGCACTACACCTATTTATCTGTTAACCTATCTAGTATCTGTCTACTGTCACTATCAGGGTTCTTACTAAAAGCTCAGTATATATAAGCCTTATACTTTATAAAATATTTTGTGACTGATTGATTCATCGTGTGTATGTGTGTGTGAGTGTGTGTCCTGGGATGAAGAGCCATAGTTTTAATTTAAATTTTTTTTAAACTTATTTATTTATTTATTTTTATTTTTGGCTGTATTGGGTCTTTGTTGCTGCGTGCGGGCTTTCTCTAGTTGAGGTGAGCAGGGGCTACTCTTTGTTGTCATGCGTGGGCTTATTGCAGTGGCTTCTCTTGTTGCGGAGCATGGGCTCTAGGCATGTGGGCTTCAGTAGTTGTGGCACATGGGCTCAGTAGTTGTGGCGCACAGGCTTAGTTGCTCCAAGGCCTGTGGGATCTTCCCAAACCAGGGCTCGAACCCATGTCCCTTGCATTGGCAGGCGGATTCTTAACCACTGTGCCACCAGGGAAATCCAAATTCTTAAAGAAGTCTTTCAAATAGTAAAGAACCAATGATTTTACAGGTAAATCCTGTCTATCTATCTATCTATCTATCTATCATCTATTTATCATCTATCTCTCTCTATCATTTCTATCTATCCCATTTATCATCTATAGATAGGTTAGTTAAAAGTATTCAAATTATGTAAATTATAATTAATAATATAATATAATATATTATAATTATATATATTATAATTATATATATAATTATATATATTATAAAATTATAATATAATAATATAATATAACAATTAAATTATTTATAGTATTAGATATCTGATTTCATGTTATAAATTTAAAATTTTCTTGTCATTAAACTTCTTTGTAAATATTATTAATGACTTCATAATATGAATATATCATAATACATTCAATGATTCTTCTATTATTGAATATTTAGCATGATCCTAGTGTGTTGCCATTTAAAATATATTATAAAATATAAATGAGTATTTAAATATTAATCCAAATTTTAGCTTAATTCTTTAATTTAAATTCCCAACCATAAAATTATGGGGCCTAAGAAAATGGACACTTTTATATTTGTTATTAATATTATGAAATTGCTTTCCAAAGAGTTTCTTGCAATTTAAAATTTCACCATGAGTTTTAGGAAGTGATTTTCTCATCACACACTTGCCAGCACCATGTGTTGGTATTTTCACCTTATTCAATCTTCACAATGGCCATTGTGAGTTAATTTTTGTATTTATTGTATAGTTGAGGAATGGAAATGTAATATTTTTCCCTTTCTCTATATTAATGCCTCAATATTTATTTATTTTTCCAGTTTTACTGAGAAATAATTGACATACATCACTGTATAAGTTTAAGACATACAGCATGATGATTTGATTTACATATATTGTAGGAATACAGTTTTCTACCCAAGAACTGAAATGCAGTTTTCTCTGCCAGGGAATTATGCCATTTGGAAAAGTTTAATTGTTTTAAGTTCACTAAGTACCTTGATAAAAGCCACTTACTTTGTAAATATCAAACACTGACAAAATAGGTAAGGAAAGCAGCTGACTTACGTCGTCAAGAAGAGGCTCATTAATAGTCTGGTACTGGCCTGCCAACAAAAAGAGACCAAAATGTTATTGCAAAACATTGGGAAGACTGGGCCCTTGTTTTTCTCCAGAAATCTTGTGCTCATTTCAATTAATTTTTCTTGACTGTAATTGCTCAAAATGAAGTGCACATTTCCATGCTTCTCATTCTATCAGCTGTTCTTACATAACAGGGGCAAAGGAAAAGGAGGAAAGAGAATCAATTCCCGACTAAGAAGCCTTTCCACAGCAAGCTAGCCTTCTCGTTGAAAGAGAAACAATGTTAGAAGGAACGCTGCCCCCCAATCAGTAGCACCCAAAGTGATGACTCAGCAGCAACTCAGCCAATGACCACATGTGTTTTCCCCTTGCCCTCTGGAACACATTGCCATTTGCAATAATCTGTCCACACATTGTCTTCTTGAACAGACTCTACATATTTTAAGAGTAGGGGCCATATCTACTTATTCATCTATCCCTGGCTTGAGGTGCAGGGCCCTCTTGACCAAATCAGTTCTTTTTTTTTTTTTTTGCGGTACGCGGGCCTCTCACTGTTGTGGCCGCTCCCGTTGCGGAGCACAGGCTCCGGACGCGCAGGCTCAGCGGCCATGGCTCACGGGCCCAGCCGCTCCGCGGCATGTGGGATCCTCCCAGACCGGGGCACGAACCCGTGTCCGCTGCATCGGCAGGCGGACTCTCAACCACTGCGCCACCAGGGAAGCCCCAAATGAGTTCTTGATAGGAGTTTGATGAATAAATGTTCAGCAGATGTTTCTTGACACTCAACTTCCTCCCTTGGACTTGTTCTATGAAAGATTGCCAGAAGGTCATCTAGTGTACTCAGTGCTCGATGTTTTACATTTTACCCTCAGATTATGCAAAACCACCAAAGAATTGCTCACATGACCTGCAGGTTTTTTTGCTTCCTCATACACTTCATTTTCCTAAATTGCAGTATAATTTCACGCTGTTAGTCTGAATTTGGGAACATTGTAGGCAGAAAATGTTCTTATCATGTTCTCTTTATTAGCACATATATGAGAAGTTTCTAGTAGGTCTCAGGACCAGAAGCTGCACACTTCTTTGCTTTGATTTAATGGAAAGCATCAATCTTAAAAGAGATCACATTTCCCTTCCTCCTTTAGCTGTTAAGACTCTCAGGGCAAATCTCTAGCCTGCGTCCAAATAGTGCAGAGGACCATGGTATGATGTGTATTTCTACCTTTTGGTCTGGCTTCATCATGTTCTTAAATTTTGTCCTTTCACCCTGAATTCTCTTCCCATACCAAAATACAAAATTAATAGCTGTGAATTTGTGCCAGCATGCCAAAGTCTTCTGTAGGGTGTAATGTATAAATTAATGAAACTTTGGCTCAGTGGAAACACAGTTCTATGGAATTTTCCTAGGACCAGTGCATGGGGGAAATGTTAAGCCAGAGCTAATCTCCTTGAGATAATGAGCCAGGAGGAGGAGAATCCTGTCTGCACCTGCCACCAGTTACAGTCTATTCTGGTGGTAGGACCAGCAGCAAACACTACCCCGGGGCACTAATAACATCTCCCTGTCCCAGCACAATTACACCCATAGTGAGATCCCTGGCAGAGAAACCTACAGGTTTTCCAGCCCTTTAGCAATTTGTACTCTCTCATGAATTGAGTTAAATTAATAATGTCACCCATTAAACACCAGCTGGTCTGGCAGGCACAAATGAACACAGACTTACTGGGGATCCGCTCTGGCACTTGTGATCTAGGAGAGCAGCTCCACTGTCTAATTCAGGGTTCAATATCATTTCATTTTAGGATATTGGCTTCATTGAACATAGTCATTATACCCACATTCTCATGGAGAGCTGTGAGGATCTCTTCTTTCAGCAGCATTGCAGTCTCAGACCCTCCTGGATTCCCCAAATATGCTGCGTGCCACTTCTGGGTCTTTGCTTGTGTTGATTCCACCTGGAGTCCCTGCCTCCTCCATTTTGTTTTCCAAAATGCTCAGTAAACTTTGAGATCCTCCTGGGGCTTCACTTTCTGACCACTACAGGTCACTGTAATCTCACTGAATCAGTTACAGCCATCATTTTCTGTTTTACTCACCGTTATGCAAATAAAAAGAAGCAGCGTCTGATTACTTCTTTGTTGTTTAAGTCCACTGCCCTTCTATAGGGCAGGAATGATCTTTTATCTCTATCTCCCTCAGTACCTACCTGTGTTATGAACAATGCAGAGTTCTGCAAATGCAACTTTAAAAGCATAGTTTTAAAACTGTAAATCAGCACGTGTCATTCATGGCCCATGAAACATAGTCCAGATTCCCTGCCGTTGCTCCCAGAGGCCAGCCTGCCGCCTGGCCTGTCTCTGATCTCATCTCTTTCTAGTTTCTTCCTCCTCTGAGCTCTAACCATATCAGCCTCTTTTTAAGTTCATCCAGTACATCTACCTCAGAGATGTCGCATGTGTCCCCGAGTCCAGAAAGTTCTCTCCTCAGCTCTGCCCAGGCCTGGATACTTTTCACCCATCATACTGTGTCTGAAATGTCATCTCCTCTGGAGGACACTCCCTGACTACCAATCTCAGCTAAAAATTAAAGAGCACCTTCCAGCCCCCGTCATCACTAGCTCAGGCGCCTGGCAGTGGTGAGAATGCTGTGTGCTCACCAAACCCCCTTTCCTCTTCCTGTGGGCGCTCGGCGGGCGCACAATTCCTGGCATCCCTTGCACTGGGCGGTCTTGGCATGGAGCTATGGACACTGGGATGAGGCAGGTGTGACGGATTCCACTCCAGGCTGGCCCACTTGACTCTCCACCTCTCATTCCTGCCTCAGTGGCTGGCCAGAGGCAGAGGACCCCAAGGCCCTCAGGGATGATGGAAGCCACTGGGTAAAAGGAGAGTGAATCCCAAATGAATGTTTGGAAAAAGGCCTCCTTCAATTTACATTGGATTGTGATGTGAGCAAGAAATAAACCTTTATTTTATTAAACTACTAACGTTTGTAGTTTATGCATTATAGACGTTAGTCCTCCTTGATGAATACACCCTGCTCAGCTTCTCCTTAGCATGTAAGAACAAAACAAGCCAATGAATATATCACACAGTTACAGACGGTGGTGCCTGTCTCCCCCGAGGCAGTGGTGAGATTCCAGGCTCTTGATCACTCCTGTAACCCCGTGTATGGTAAGTGACAATAAATGAGCAGTCGGCTGTGGAAACACCCAGAGCTTGGAACCAGCGACAGAACTTTCAGTAGAACCTGATCCCCTCCCTTGCTGAGCGAACTTGAGATTGGCGCTCCCTCTTGCTGGGCCCAGATCCTCACCATAGTAACAGTCCCCCAAATTCTTCCCAATCTTTGAGTCTTCCTGGAACTGAAGGATAGATTGGCTTCTCAGAGAGAGCCGTTTTTTAGAAAGATGAGGGAAGCTGCTTAGTAGCTTTCCACATCACCATCCTGGAAGAGTGATGGTGATGCTGTGACAGTGGAGGGTCCCTCATCGCCCTCTGGACCCAAACAGCCACAGAGAACAACTGATTTCTGCGTGACCCTCAAGGAAACATCTTTTTACAAAAGACAACATTTCTCTAACAGTTATTTTTAAGGGGGAAGTGAAGATGAATATGTGCCATGTAAAGCTCGGGGGGTTTCCTGACTGACAGAGGCAATTACCCCAGACTTTAGTCGTGAACATGGACACCTCATGCCTGCAGAGGTGTGACAAAGGTGTACAACCAATGCCCATCAAATTTAGGTCCCCTGACCATTGGCATATTGGATGCTTTTTAAAAAAGAAAGAAAGAAAGCAAACTTGGGCCCCAGAACAAATCAATTGCTTTTTACACAAGCTCCTATGGTGATACTTACTCTGGTCTCAGAAGTCTGAGAATTAGTGACATAGAAGCTCTCACTCTTGTCCAGTGGAAGGTGAGCCATGTGAGTTAAATAAAGTGAGGAAGAGAGACTCTCAGGCTATTTTCACGTATAAACACTTCCATGAACTTAAGCCCCTGGAGGTGCAAGGCTGGTGCCTTGTCTACGTCCCCATTTAGTACCTTTAAAGGGGCAGGGTAGCTGGCTGAGCACCCAAGTGCCATTGCCATGGGATAGGCAAAGGTAAAGAAAATCCCGAACTAGTCCCATGAAGAGAATATGCTTCCCTGGTGTGAGAAGAAGGGTAAAAGTAGGAAGCCTGCAGAGTTCTAGAACTTTCTGTTTCTCTAGGAAGGGAAATGAGTTAACAGGCCTTTCAGATGATTGTATTTCTAAACCAGACAGGTTCCCCAAGCGCTTCTGCTTTCATTTCAGTCATGAAACTTCAGAGGGAGAGGCACGGGGGAGAGAGGAATGGTGAGGGTTAGGGTTGCCTCCAATTCCAGAGGCTGCCAGCTGGACTTATAAATATGTAGAAAAAAACAAGAGGCCAGTGAATCCCAACTTCCCGTCACTAAGTGCTCCAGAGCAGAGACCATTGTGTCTCCGCATATCCATTTTTCCCTTGCTTCTCTGTACTAGAACTCCTCCTGGTTGGCTGGGTACATGGCCACCTTGAGTAAGTCCTTATTACCTGTCCTAATCTTCATGTGGGTATGAGTTCAAGTTTGGGATGATGGAAGAGGTGGAAAATCAACACACCATTTCCAGGAAACTTTCTTGAGGGAAGTTATTGTGTAGGATTCATTCCTTCTTCTCCTTCCCTTCATCCCTCCTGCAGCCCAGAGCGCAGACATCACTATTTTAGGAGATGGTATGGAGGCCAACTCGAGGCGGGGAGGGATGCAGGAGGGGCAGGGTCTCTGAGGACCCTGAGGAGAAGAGTTGCCAAACAGCCTTAGACTGCTTGCCTCTGGTCTTGACTTACAAAAAAAAAATACATAAACATTTGTCATGTTTCAGCCCCACGATTTCTTTTTTAAAGTGTCTTGCAGCCTTAAATGTTTTTTTTTTTAATCAGTCTTGGTGCTCACCAATAACATAGCAGAGCCTCTGAGCAAAGGCATGGACACGTGTTTCACAGACGCTGAATGAGAAGTTCTAGGTTCAAATCCTGGCCGTTTCACTTTCTGGCCGTGTGACCTCAGGCAAGCTTGTAAGGCCGGTGGGAATAAGAGTATCTACCCCAAATAGCTGTTGAGAAGCGTATATAAATAGCTCCCTGGCTCAGTGCACCACTAAGGAATTGCTGTGCTCTGTGTTTCATGTCTTTTCAAGTTCAACTTCATGGCCAAATCTTTTTCACTCAATCCAGATCTTTAGATCTTCAGATCTATATCTTGGTCATTATTTAGTGCCCATTTTCAAACAAAAGTATGTGCCTTTTCCAACATTCAGCTGTGTTGACGAGCACCAGTCAGTTCTTCAGAAGGGTTCTTCAAGCTGAGGTCCCTTCTAGCCATGAAGCTCTGGGATTCAATGACTGAGAAAACCGAGGCTGACAATATTTGGTGCCTAACTTAACATGTGTGCTATGATGGATCTGAGCTCTACACTACTGGTGTCTTTGCAAGTTCCCTAACTTCACTTGGGCTTCATTTAGCTGATCTATACAGCGAGGATAATAAAATCTGTACCTTACAACTAAATTAGATAAGTTTATAAAAGGTCTGGCACAAAGTAGAGACTCCATATATGTTAGTTTCTTTTCATTTTCTCTCATTCACAGATCCTAGGGCTTGCTGGTATCATGAGAGAACCCGTATACAAACTCTGAGCTCCACACTTACAGCCCTTGGTTCTTTCCTCTACAAGATGCTGCCTTTCTCCATTTTTATCTTTTAAAAACTTGAAAGTATTTGGGGATGGAGGGCATTGGCCTGATCTTCCTCTCACTATGGTGGAGTAGGATAGTTTACACTCTTTACCCTGGCAGTTCCCAAACTTTAGAACATCTTCAGCTTGGCATCGATCCATGGTTATAGGGAAAGGCAGGAAGGAATTTGCCTAGAGTTATTTTCACTGCCTCTGAGTAAAGGATTATGATGTCCAATAAGCCTTGACTATGACTTGTATAGTCAAGGGGAGCAGAGAAGGAAAAGGGAAGAAAAGAGGGAAGTAGGAAGGGAAAGAAAGAGACAGAAATAGAGATATAGAATATATATACACACATACAATGTATGTATGTTATATATCTATTATATATTGACTTTGTCATCTATCATCTATTTGTCTGTCTATCTATCTATCTACCTATGTATCTATCAGCTCAGTCATCTAGCACTTCTGGGAATTTCGGTTTTATTCACTGAACCACAGTCTCTTGATCTGAAGATTATAAACTGTGAATTCCAAGTCACAAATAGTCTAAACTCACAGTTACATGGGAAACATGTATTGGGAGTTGTGAGAACAGGCTTAATGTTCTCACTAGACGGCTCTTGGAAATTCACTTCCCTTTTCTAGTTCTTAGTTTCCTCATCTGTAGAGCACAGTTTTAGAATTTCAGACTAGCTGAGTCCCCAGAGATTTTCATTTTTATTTCCTTTTTTAAAAGCTTGCGGCCAAAGCTGGTTAGAGTGTCTGTCACATTAAGGAACTACCACAATTGGTTGAATGAACGGATGGATGGATGAATGAACGGTGATAGTTAAGGCAGCTGCCTCTTGGTGGAGACAGCTTTGATAGTTTTCATCCACCTATCTATATATGTTTTGCTTCAGCCAATGATTCTCAAAAGACTGTCCTAGAACTACCTGAATTAGAATTATCGTGTTAAAGGTAAGGATTCTCTGGCCTCACTATAGCTCTACCAAAGCATAAACCCTGGTGTGGGCTTGATGATACGCATTTTTCACTGCTGTCATTCTGATACATGATGAATTGTGAAGACATTGTAAATCCTTGGGCATATCAACCTTAGATGATTTGAGTACTGGCTTGTGCTTATAAGAACTGGGTGGACACCTTTTCCCTGCAATTCAACTGTTAACGTTTCAATTTGTTTCTGTTCACCAATTTCCTCAACATCTTGGAGAGAACCAGCCTCTGATAAATTAACACAGGTACTGAATTATCTAGAAATGGCCAGAAGGAGGCACTGGATGCTCACATATTCCATACCCGCCTTTCCTCCCTCTAGTCCTAAAATTTGTATTAATTTTTCTTTTAGAAGTGGGAAAAACCAACGTTTAAGATTGATTTCCTGGGTTTCCCTGTTGGCACAGTGGTTGAGAATCCGCCTGCCAATGCAGGGGACATGGGTTCGAGCCCTGGCCCGGGAAGATCCCACATGCTGCAGAGCAATGAAGCCCGTGTGCCACAACTACTGAGCCTGCACTCTAGAGCCCGCGAGCCACAACTACTAAGCCCATGCGCCGCAACTACTGAAGCTGCATGCCTAGAGCCTGTGCTCCACAACAAGAGAAGCCACAGCAATGAGAAGCCCGTGCACCGCAACGAAGAGGAGCCCCCGCTCGCCGCAACTAGAGAAAACTGGTGCGCTGCAACAAAGACCCAACGCAGCCAAAAATAAATAAGTAAAATAAATAAATTAAAAAAAAAAGATTGATTTCCTTAGGAAAAAACAAAACAAAACAAGTGTTCCTGGACAAAATGAAATTTCTTGTCTGTCTGAGTCAACCAATATACATCTTTATCAGTTTTTATTGTGTGCGGTAACTTAAGACAGAAAGCCTCACTTTCTAAATAGGGCTATCCTCTCAATTTCATTTTTTATTAAGTGGAAGGAGAAAATCTCCCGAGTTTATTTTATGGAAAAACACGACCCTGTTCTCTATATATCAACTTCATAGAAGATGTTGGTATTGACAGACAGATTGTCCAAGTTTGAATATGTGTCTGTCTTCTCCAGGCCTAGAGAATTTTTTTTTTGATAGATTGTTTTTAGTATACAAAAAAATGCTGCTGTAGAAAAATTATAAGGTACAGGTAAGCAAAAAAGAGGAGAATAAAAATCACTATAACGTCCCCATACCAAGATAACAACTATAAATATTTGATTACAGAAAATCACTAACAACACATACACACATGACATCATCTATGTATATATGATCAAAATGTATGCACACTGCTTTCTTGCCTGCCCTTTCATATAATAGCATGCTATAACATACCCATCATTGAATATGCTTCAACGTCATCATTTTTAATGGCTATGTAGTATTCTTTCATATAGATGCCCTACCACATTTTCAACAAATCCCATGGTAAAAAATTGCAAACAACTTGAAAGTATCTGGGAATGTCATAAATAGCACCACGATGAGCAGTCTCTTATGTAAATCATCATGTGCATCTTTAATTACATCCGTTTTGTTATAGTGTAGTAGACACTGGCATTGGTGCCTAAGCTTGCATAGGCTGGGGTGGTGTGGTTTGCTAAGTATTTTTGTCAGGGTACAGATCTGAGTGCCTATGGGCAGGTCTGGGCAGCTTTATCTCAGTTGACTTTTGGGGGGTTTTGATTTGTTTTCTTTTCCCTGCTTGTGTCTCTAGAATGTTGTTAATGAAATGGAATCCCCCCTGTCAGTTTTTTTTCTACCTTAAGGCAGGTGGAGAACGAGCCCAAAGGGGGAGGGGTACAGGTCACATTTATAATTCACCAGTCACCAAATCAGGTTAGCAACCTCATTTCCAAGCACCATCCCCTTTAGAATTCTCTACAGTCCCCCCAAGACTTTAAGTGGATGGTAGGAAGGTCTGAGAGGTGACAAGTAGTTGGAGGGGGGCTACTTTTGACACCAAGGACTCAGTACAGTTTGGAAACATCTACCTTGAGAGAATGTAACATTTCTTAGGACCTGAGAAGCCTCAGAAGAAAAACACGTTCTGCAAGAGGGATTAGAGCTGGGTGCTCATTTGTCTCTTATTTATATTCCCACTTGCAGCATTGATTTTGCTTTTTCCTCCCTCTCCTCCCTGCTGTGCAAGCCACGCTGGGTGGCTGGGTGCTGCTTATATCCTCCAACATGTGCTATGATGAATCCTGTGAATTGATTTGCAGATGACATCACTCCCAATGCACCTATTGCTTCTTTGCACACTTCCTGTATTTCTCTCTCTCTTTTATTTATCTCTCTTTTATTATGGGCCACACAGCTTGTGGGATCCTAATTCCCTCACCAGGGATCGAACCCAGGCCCGTGGCAGTGAAAGCGCAGTGTCTTAACCACTGGACTGTCAGGGAGCTCCCTATTTCTCTTTTTTTATGTCTCATTCCAGTCATTATTTCTAGCCACCAGTTTTCTAGTTAGTCCTATGGGACTTTCCTTGGTATAATAATGCTCCAATATGAGTATACTTTATTTTACTTTACTTTATAAAGTAAGTATATACTTTATTCAAACTTTAATGGCGTCTTACTCTGTGTCTAGTAACAGGAACTGGGCTCTGAAAAGAGATGCAGGAGAAGCATAAAATGTGGTTTCTGACCCATTCACTCAACCAACACATATTTTGCGGGGAGCCCATTATGTACAGTTTAGTTGAACGAACACTGATGAGTAGCCACAATACTGGCATTCAGGCAGGCTTATACCCATTTTGCAGTTGAAGGAACTGAGGCCCACAGGGATCTGTGCTTCACCCAAGGCTGCACAGCTAAGAAATGGAGAGCCAGGATTCCCGCGCCGTCTGCCAGCCTCCAAAGCTGTGGATGTCACACACTTCCAGCCCGGGAGCCACCAGAGGGAAAGACCCTAAGTCACCAGTGTCACCTTGAACCGGCCAATAGTTTTATCCAAAGAAAAACAAAAGAATGGAAAGAAGAGTAACAGACTCCTGCTAACATTCCCACTGCTTAGGTGTCTGGGGGGCCCTGACTCACCTGTGACACTATGGATTCGAGGCCATGACCTAGGGCAGAAAAGAGAACCAAGGTAAGCGTCAGCTGCAAGCGATTCACCATCCTCCCCAGAGGAGTGGGTAGTCATCAAACGCAGATCACAAATCAACTTATGGGACACTTCCTTTATGTTTGTGCTGTTCTAGACCGAAAGGAACATCTCATTACAGAGAACATAGAAAAATGCATGGAGAAGAAAATAACAGTCAACACCACAGGTGATATTTTGGCGAGTCTCAGGCACATATGTGCACGCGTGTATGAAGATGTCTTCATGCATTTCAATATACAGATGTCTAAAAATAATATAAAAGAATGTACAGGCTCCTGATGTTAAAAATGCATTGTAGATCTTTGTTACTCGAAAACATGATATTTATCAGCTGTGTGATTTTTGGAGAGGGAAATTAGGTTCCTGCTCATTTTTACAATTGTAAATCATGTTGCAGTGTGTACCTTTGCTGCAACATGATATCCTTTTTAATCTGATCTCTGAGTGTTTCCATGGAGAGACTCCATCAAGTGCAACTGCGATGAAGGTGTCTGATAATGATAATGTGGGTCTCCTAGGCCCCTTGTTACATATCACTCAGGTGCCTTCTGGATGGGTTGAATGAATTTATATTCTTATCTACAGAGTGTGAAGTGACCATCTCAACATATCTTACCACCATTAAATCCACGACCATTTAAAACAACTTTTCCTACTTGCTACTTGATTCCTTATTTTACCTGTTTCACTTCCCTGATGCCTAGTTAGATTAACTATTATTTATTTCAAATGGTTTTGGGCCGTTTGCATTTCTTCGGCAGTAAGTTATCTGGAAAGACCAACGAGGTCTTCTCCTGGCTGCCACATCCCGACTTGGACAGTGTGATTTTGAAAGCACATTTCCCCTACATTTGGGGCAATGATCTGAAAAGCCCTGGGGCAATGGAAAGCTCAGAAGGATGCGGCTTCTGTGAGCTTACTGGTTTGTGCCTTTAATAATCCCTTTGCATGGCACCTATCCTCTGAGGCTCTCAAAGTGCGTCACGGGAGCAATTAATTGAGCATCACAACACACGCCAGGTGTAAATATTTATGAGGCCTCATTGGTGGCTGCAACACCAGGCACAGAATAGTTAAACTAGGAGATAATAGTCACCAGGAGATCACAGCCCACGTGTCCCACTTCCAGCTCAGACTGTTGCTCTCTGCTCACCACGTTAATACTCAAAGTGATTCTGTTGGGTAGCTCTCCCTGTCCCAAGTTTATAGACGAGGGAACAGAGGACTCAGAGGGCTCCATGACTTGCCCAGTCCCACGGGAAGCAAGAGAATTGCCACCAGCCTGTTGGACCTGCAGATCCTTGTTGCCTCCTGGGGCCCTTGCCTGAAGGCAGTGGAGAGTCATGCTTTGGAGGGATTTTGCAGCTGCCGTCTGGGATGCTTTGTGGTTAGCTCTTGGCGCTCTTTCAAGTTGCCTGAGATGCTGCAGAAATTAACAGTAAATCAGTCAGGAAGGAGCAGATCGTTTATCTGGGTCCTGAGAGATCTCTTTTGACACTTTCCACTCGCAGCCCCTTCCCTGACATCTTGGTCTTTGATTAGAGCCTCAAAAGACTCCCCAGACTTGCAGCTCCTGACATGTGACATGGAAATGATATGTTTCTGCGACTGTGTACAGGGAGCTTGATGCAGGCAGGGCAGGCCAGGCCACGGACAGAAAGCAGCACCTCAGAGCAGGCAGGATGCAATCCTTAGCCCAGGGACTTTGAATACAAGGCACCCTCTTCCCGGGACCCTAGGAGGAGCTTCAGGGCTTTTGTTTGTTTGTTTGTTTGTTTTTGTTTTGTCACATTTTATCATGACACATCAATACATCCAGGATTTATTTTTCAATCCATTGACATATATCAGAATCATGTTGAAGATTAGACATGAATTGAGTTTTAAATCTGCTTCCACCACTTGACCTTACTCTATTATTTCAAAGTCATTGTCGTTTCCTTCAGCATGTCAGCCCTATCACAATGCCCGTACTTTTCCATTGGATGACCTGAGATCATTTTTTTGTTTGTTTGTTTTTTCCTTAACTTTTTATTTTATATTGGAGTATAGTTGATTAACAATGTTAGATTAGTTTCATGTGTACAGCAAAGTGATTCAGCTATATATATACAGATATCTATTCCTTCTCAAATTCTTTTTCCATTTAGATTGTTACATAATATCGAGCAGAGTTCCCTGTGCTATACAGTAGTTCCTTGTTAGAACTACTCTATTTTAAATACAGTAGTATGTACATGTACATTGCTTATATGTGGAATCTAAAAAAATATGTTGCAAATGAACTTATTTACAACAAATCAATAGACTCACAGACTTAGAGGATGAACTTATGGTTACCAGGGGAGAAGAGTGGGGGCGAGGGATAGATTGGGAGTTTGGGACTGACATGTACACACTTCAGGTTTTAAATTAGGATTTCATCCTCCTTCCGACCTTGGCCTCAGCTGACTTTTATTTTTATTTTATTTATTTTTCCCCTCACCCGATTTTTAGAATCAAAGATCACTAACGTTGAAAGTGTGTTGGAGGTAATGTCCAATTCGTGGTTCCAAGTTTCAGATTCTTGGAGGTGGGACTGAGGTCTTTGGACAGCTTAAAAAGGGTGGATCTGAAGGGAAAATGCCTGTTCAGGCACAAGCAAGGCTCAGTTCTGGCTGGTGGGATTTCCCCACCTTGCAGATGCAGCTAAAGCTTAGAAGAGAGAAGTGACGCGTCTAAAGTGGCACAGCAAGAAACTGAGCACCGGGATTGGCCTTATTAATTACTAGCCGATGCAACAACTCAGCCCACTGAGTTCCCTGCATCTGGAAGCTTCCTCCTAATTGTAAGGCTGTCTGGAAGCGGTTTATCTGCTGACTCCTCTTGGCGGGGCCCCAGAGCGATGGTGCTCATTCATATGTCGTATCCTCTGGGACGGTGCACCCCAGGGCCCTCTGTGTGTCACTGCAAGCCAAATGGATTAGCAGAGGAAGCAGTGGCAGAGCAGGGAACGATGTTGTTATTTCAGCTGAGCCTGAAAGCGGAGAGGGAGGCTGGAAGGAGGGGTCTGGGGAGGCGTGCCGGACTCCACGGCTCTGTCTGGCTGGAGTGCAGACAATATCTCGACACCGGCAGCTGACAAGCACTCTGAAAAGGCTCCTGTGTTAAACTCTTTGCAGCCTGACAGCCCAGGGTGATTAATGAAAGATGCTGCTTGCAAACTTGCTGGAGATTTGATGTGTTCTCTCAGTGCTCAAGGAAGGCCCATGTGTTAGCAAGCTGCCTCTTGCCAGGGAATTACAGAGATGCTCCCCGGCTTCCTTTAGTCAACAGCATCCATCACACGGCCACATGTGCACGAGCTGCAGCTGGATGGTGTGTAGCTTGGCAGCCATCCTTCTGCCCTTCCCACCCGCTTGCTCCTTTCTGCATCTGGGCCTGAGTGAAGCAGGTCTCCCTCTCTATCTCTGCTTGGACAGGCAGCCGTCCACGTGGTGGGCATGGAGTATGAACTGAACAAAGCTGGCCTCCTGAGGTTTGTGGTTTTCAATATTTAAGGCTCATTTTAAATGAAGATGTTCAATTTCTAAATTATTTTGAATTTTTAATACTTCTTAATAATTTAAAAGGTTTAATAATTTTTAAAGGATACTAAATTAAACTCCCCCCACCCTCGCTGCCTGGGAGAACTTGATCTGATGGAATGGGCAGAGTGCACCCATGTTCTCTTATCTATGGGAACAGAGTTTGGATGGTGTGTTATTCCAGTCCCATAGAGATGGGACCTGGTCCTGTCTCCAGAGTCAGCCTCCTGGCATGGAGACTAATTCCTCATCACATCCTTGAGTCTGGTGTGTGTGGGCCCCTCTGGGTCTCCCCAGGCACCCGCCACTGGTCCAGAATGCGGCAGCAAAACCCTTGGGGAATGGTTGGGGTGATTTCATCCCCCCCTCTCAAACCTCCAAGATTAACTGGCTCAGCTCCATACCTCATTTTAAGCTCTGCCCCTGAAAGGAAAAGACTAGAATAAAATTCTCTCATCTGGGGGAAGATGACTGATCTTTTTAAGAGTCAGTAAACTCGTTTTCAATATAAACTAGAAAGAAATGAAAATGGAGGTAAAGTTTCTCAATTCATTCTCATCTTCCTGCTCTTTGAACATTATCTACTCCATGTTGGGAATTGTGCACTTTACAGAAATCATTTCACCCAAACTTCCTAGCAATTCTTGTTGGACAGTATCTTTATCTCAGTGTTAGGGCTATGATGGGATGTTTATGCTGGATGGGACCCCAAACTGGCCTTTTCATTTTGCAGATGGATCGACAGAGGCCCAGGTCAATCTCATGGGGGAGTCCCTGGTGTCATGCGTCCCATCCAGCCTGTCTGATGGCAGGGCTCACCCTCTTCTCTCCACCTCTCTGAGGGAAGGGTAGGGTTTGCATCAGGGAGCCATGGGAGCTAAGGTGTGGAAATGCACAGTGAGCTTGGAGAGTAGGTAACCTGAAGGATAAGCTGGAAGGACTGTGTCAATCTCGAGGTGTCATGGAGCTTTGCAAGGCAGAGGATAAAGGATGCTCAGAGCCACATGTTAGGAAGGTGATTCGGGAGCGCATATGATGGAGTGGAAAGGGAAGGACTGGGATGTCACAGTCTTAGTAAGAGGTAGTGACAGCCCTCAACACTGGGTGTTTTTCTCCCTCCCCACGTGGCCACCAAAGCTCTCTTCTGGTCACCTAGCACCTGCCTGGTGGAACTCACACTTGTATCACCAGAACAGAGCACAACGCCGTTTCTCAAACCTTCTACACCAGGCCCCCAACTCCTAAAAGGGAGACCAGGTACGTAAGGCAGTGCCTGGAACATGGCTCGTACACAAAAACGTGCTGTTGAATGAGCATGAGGGAGAGGATGGATGAGTGGATGAAGGCAAAGTGCACAGGTGCAGGGAAGCGCAGGTAAGAGGGCATCCCTCGA